TAGTTACGAAAATCTGCAAAATTAAGATGGATTTTAAAAAACTTTCTTCTAAAAAAGCTGCATTACAGTATGTCTTAAATCTAGGAGAGGTATTATCAAAACTGGATTTTATGAGGTCGGTCAGAGCTTGAGCTCGTCCTTTTTCAGCAGTAAGTAGGGCTGCATCTATATTACCTTGTTCTACGATAACTCTCCACAAACCCGTATATGCCAATTGATACTGAATTCGAAAATCAACTTTCCACTCATCTTTAGATTTTAGAATTACTCTAAAGGAATTGAATAAGGTTATGCAAGCTTCGTGATATTCGACAGCTTTGGACAATCCATTCAGCGACTCAAAAAACGCATCCTAGGTAATGAATAGCAGGCCATAACCTCTGAGGATTTGTCTTCGAACTCTATGGCAATTTTCACCATTAGGTTGTATGATATGTTAACCTTCATCAAATCTCCCAGAGTTCGATACACATTGCTAAGATTACCATACGCACCACCCTCCCCATGCTTGTCTCCTACTTCTTTAGTTATTTTGAGATCTGGGTTGAAATACTCTAGGGCTTTTTTTAAAATCACCCAGACTCCGATACACATTGCCAAGATTGCCATGAGCACCCCTCTTCCTATGCTTGTATCCTACTTCTTTAGCTATTTTAAGGTGTAGGTTGTAAAACACAAGGGCTTTTTTAAAATCCCCCCAGACTCCGGTACAAATTGTCAAGAGTGTCCTAAGCACTTCCCTCCCCATGCTCATCTCCTACTTCTTTAGCTTTTTAAGATCTAGGTTGAGGTACTGCATGGCTTTTTTGAAATCACCCAGACTAAAATAAGCATTGCCAAGATTGCCATAAGCGTTACCCTCCCCACGCTTGTCTCCTACTTCTTTAGCTATTTTAAGATGTAGGTTGTGGTACTCTATGGCTTTTTTGAAATCACCCAGACGGTCATAAGCATTGCCAAGATTGCCATAAGCGTTACCCTCCCCATGCTTGTCTCCTACTTCTTTAGCTATTTTAAGATGTAGGTTGTGGTACTCTATGGCTTTTTTGAAATCACCCAGACGGTAATAAGCATTGCCAAGATTGCCATAAGCGTTACCCTCCCCATGCTTGTCTCCTACTTCTTTAGCTATTTTAAGATGTAGGTTGTGGTACTCTATGGCTTTTTTGAAATCACCCAGACTGTCATAAGCATTGCCAAGATTGCCATAAGCGTTACCCTCACCATGCTTGTCTCCTACTTCTTTAGCTATTTTAAGATGTAGGTTGTGGTACTCTATGGCTTTTTTGAAATCACCCAGACGGTAATAAGCATTGCCAAGATTGCCATAAGCGTTACCCTCCCCATGCTTGTCTCCTACTTCTTTAGCTATTTTAAGATGTAGGTTGTGGTACTCTATGGCTTTTTTGAAATCACCCAGACGGTAATAAGCATTGCCAAGATTGCCATAAGCGTTACCCTCCCCATGCTTGTCTCCTACTTCTTTAGCTATTTTAAGATGTAGGTTGTGGTACTCTATGGCTTTTTTGAAATCACCCAGACGGTGATAAGCATTGCCAAGATTGCCATAAGCGTTACCCTCCCCATGCTTGTCTCCTACTTCTTTAGCTATTTTAAGATGTAGGTTGTGGTACTCTATGGCTTTTTTGAAATCACCCAGACTGTAATAAGCATTGCCAAGATTGCCATAAGCGCTACCCTCCCCATGCTTGTCTCCTACTTCTTTAGCTATTTTAAGATGTAGGTTGTGGTACTCTATGGCTTTTTTGAAATCACCCAGACGGTGATAAGCATTGCCAAGATTGCCATAAGCGTAACCCTCCCCATGCTTGTCTCCTACTTCTTTAGCTATTTTAAGATGTAGGTTGTGGTACTCTATGGCTTTTTTGAAATCACCCAGACGGTGATAAGCATTGCCAAGATTGCCATAAGCACCACCCTCCCCATGCTTGTCCCCTACTTCTTTAGCTATTTTAAGATGTAGGTTGTGGTACTCTATGGCTTTTTTGAAATCACCCAGACTGTGATAAGCATTGCCAAGATTGCCATAAGCGTTACCCTCCCCATGCTTGTCTCCTACTTCTTTAGCTATTTTAAGATGTAGGTTGTGGTACTCTATGGCTTTTTTTAAATCACCCAGACGGCGATAGGCATTGCCAAGATTGCCATAAGCGTTACCCTCCCCATGCTTGTCTCCTACTTCTTTAGCTATTTTAAGATGTAGGTTGTGGTACTCTATGGCTTTTTTTAAATCACCCAGACGGTGATAAGCATTGCCAAGATTGCCATAAGCGTTACCCTCACCATGCTTGTCCCCTACTTCTTTAGCTATTTTAAGATGTAGGTTGTGGTACTCTATGGCTTTTTTTAAATCACCCAGACGGTGATAAGCATTGCCAAGACTGCCATAAGCGTTACCCTCCCCATGCTTGTCTCCTACTTCTTTAGCTATTTTAAGATGTAGGTTGTGGTACTCTATGGCTTTTTTGAAATCACCCAGATGGTGATAAGCATTGCCAAGATTGCCATAAGCACAACCCTCCCCATGCTTGTCTCCTACTTCTTTAGCTATTTTAAGATGTAGGTTGTGGTACTCTATGGCTTTTTTGAAATCACCCAGACTAAAATAAGCATTGCCAAGATTGCCATAAGCGTTACCCTCCCCATGCTTGTCTCCTACTTCTTTAGCTATTTTAAGATGTAGGTTGTGGTACTCTATGGCTTTTTTGAAATCACCCAGACGGTGATAAGCATTGCCAAGATTGCCATAAGTACCACCCTCCCCATGCTTGTCTCCTACTTTTTTAGCTATTTTAAGATGTAGGTTGTGGTACTCTATGGCTTTTTTGAAATCACCCAGACTGTAATAAGCATTGCCAAGATTGCCATAAGCGTTACCCTCCCCATGCTTGTCCCCTACTTCTTTAGCTATTTTAAGATGTAGGTTGTGGTACTCTATGGCTTTTTTTACATCACCCAGACTGTCATAGGCATTGCCAAGATTACCATAAGCGTTACCCTCCATGGACTGATTTCCCTCTTCTCTAACAGACAGAAGTCTTACTGACAACAAAATCCTATTATTTTTGTCAATCTTTTTTTATGTTAAGGTTTAAAAATGTAGAAAAAACAAAAAAGATTAGTTTTCTGGTCACATTAGCATATAACAGTCCATTTTTACAGTCGCCTGCACCTGGCGTGTAACTTAGTGTGCAGCACGCATGGTAACCGAAAGTTAGAGTAATCATTACACAGACAATGTACTGTCATTCTTACAGTAAAAACCGAAGCTCGTATCGGTGTTTATAATTATCAACCGGCTTCCTGATCAGAAAAAACAAAGTTGAAACATTTGGCCGCTAACGAGTTGCTGGGGTTTAAAGCAGAAGCTTCAATTACTTTTTCCATGTGGAGAGGTTACTTTTGATGATGTTTGTGGCATGTTGAAACACAAAATCTAACCCAGTACCGGGACGAATTGCGACGATCGCGTGAACAACCCAACATGTCCAAGATATTCATAAGTCTCTACAACATATAGCCGTTAACGGCCGAAACGTTTGTGTAAAAGTATATTCCATCGGATGGCCAGAGCGATCTTTAGGGGATGGTAAACAAAACCACAAATGAGAAATAATTTTGTGTTCAACAACCCTTTGTTTTCGAGAGCACTACGAACCTCAAGCGAATAATTTCCCTTAGTCATGCTCTTAGTCACGTGCATGAAACTCGATTAAGTAGACAAATTACGAAAACCATCACGATTTTCGGAATTAGCACACACACTAAAAACTTCTGTTCGATAACGTGACGGTGTATAACTTTTGATTACCGTAGTTATTCGGTTTACTCGGCTATTATCAACTTCATTTTGCATGCTTTCACTGAAAATATCTCTAAAATACTTGGTTATAAGGCGCACCGTTGTTTTGGGAGTAAAGATCGGTTAAGTTTATTGTAAATTCTTTCATAAATTACAAAAAAGCGAAAAAGTCGCGTATTAACAAAACAGAATTTTACGCGAGCAAAATGTTCAACAAAAACCGAAAATGTCACACATCACAGTGATAAACAAAAGGCAAAAAAAGTCACACATTCAATGACAACCTATGAACAACCCAACATGTCCGGTACATATTAATTTTAGCCTTCCCTCTCGGGAAACAAAAGTATAAAAACAATTCGATCAACAAAATTAGTAGTTGCAAATTTACTTCATCTGGTGAACATTATTTTGCGAAGTCTACATTCAGCACATCATGCAAAACACTCGCCGTCATTCTTACGATCTCATCTTCAAGTTGGAAATCGTAGCCGAAGCTGAAGCTGTTAACAACAATCGAGTGATAGCGAGGGAATACGGAATTTTCGAATCAATAGATCGGAAGTGGCACAATCAGCAGGACATCTTGTTTTCAGGCAACTGAAGATGACAGCCAAGCGCGCTTCCATGGGCCGTTACCGACCAAAAGATCCCGAACTTGATCAACTGTGCCTGAAGTAAAAGTGCTTCCGGTTATTATTTATTTTGGTTATCCCATGCCCATGTACTGGTGAATCTCTTGTTCATTGCATTTACTGATTGATGCCGTTTTTGTTTTGTATCCAGGTCTTTCAGTGAACGGCATGAGGAAGGAACTCAGCACCGATCCGGAGTTCAAAGCATCACTTGGATGGTACAACGATTGGAAACGCCGCCATTTATTTCCATACGAACCAAGACCACTCTAGCCCAGCGTCTACCAGCTAACATGGAGGATGAGATCGTGATATTTCACCAGTTCGTGGTGAGAGCCCGGAGGCGCTGTGAGTACCCGCTAAGCCACATCATCAACATGGATGAAACACCGATGCGGTTCGAGTTACCAGCAACACGAACGCTCGAGTTTACGGGGAACCGGACGGTGCCGATCACAACTTGCGGGGCGGACAAGCAGAGCTTTACTGTTGCACTTGCAGTAAAAGCGAATGGCGAGAAACTTCCCCCAAAGCTCATCTTTAAAGGCGTCCGGCAGCTTAGAATTAACCTACCGCCGAGAATGCAGGTCTCGCACAAAAAAAGGCTGTATGAATGAAGAAGGTATTTATTTCTTCGCTTGTTTATTTTCTTTCGTTTTGTGACGTATCAAATTACTGAGCACGTGCTCTCGAGCACGTTCATATCTATGCAAATTTGACTTCGCTCGTCGGGGAGTTTGTTTACATTTGATCGCCGTTTGATAATTTCAGCGCTTATGTTTGGGTTTAACGGTAATTCACTCAAATACTTTTCTCTTTATCTTTCTTTTCTAGGAACAAAAGAATGGGTGCAAATGCCTAAACAAGCCCTTTAAGACCAGAGTCAGAACACAATATCAGGCTTGGATGGTGAACGGACTCTTCACTTACACGCGATCTGGTAAGAAGCGGGCGCCGAGCAAAGAACTCGTGTTGCTGTGGGTCAACAAAGCATGGCAGGAGATTCCCGCAGAGCTTGTTATAAGATCACTCGTCACACACATTTGTTTACCAGTTTTTAAACAATTGAGTGCTATTGAGTCAAGATGAAGTAATTTAGATGTAAGAAATATCTAGCAAAATTTCGTTATACTTTTGTGTGTTACACCTGTGTTAACTTGCGCGCTAAGCGTGACGTCGATCATGCTTTTAAAACCAAAACAAAGCCCAAGCGTGCCAACTCGACCAAAACAAAACATAGTATGTCCCTTCATTGTGTAAAAATAATACATGCACATATTGGACACGCTAAGCGTGTTGTAGCCTGTTCCTGAAATCATATGCTAAGCGTGACATCGATCACGCTTTTAAAACCAAAACAAAGCCCAAGCGTGCTAACTTGACCAAAGAGAAAGGTAGTGTGTCCCTTCATTGTTTGAAATCAATATATGCGCATATTGGAAACACTGAGGGTGTTGTTAGCGTGTTATGATTAATACCCCTCTTTGCACTTCCATAAAACCTCAAATTATGGAATATTTTCATTATACCGACAGTTAAAAATAAAGCATTTCTTCAAAAGATACAGCTAATCCCTTATCACACCAAGTGATTGCTTCTTCAAATCTCTTCAGTTCAACACAGGCAAGGGCTCCTGCAGGAAACAACACAATGGAGATATAATGACTATGGCTTAATTCCAAGAAAAGAACCAGAAATCATTGAAAGCTAACTTATTACAGACCAGGAAAGACAAAGCAACTAAATGGAAAGAATAAACAGGCCCTATTAGGTTTCAGTTAGATTAGTTTTTGATAATTGAAACTTCTGAGGACATTTGAGTTGAGACTAACAATTCCCACAAAATCACTAAGAGATATAGATATAACAAGACATGCCATGGGAAAACACAAAAAGGAAAATCACTTTTTTTTATTTGATAATGGTACATTTTTTGGTTAACTTTTTTAGAACTGGGTTTAATTTCAACTTCAATCAAAATACAAGAGACTCAAGCTACAGTTTAAAGTTCACCAACAATAAGATTTACTCATGCTGTCTCTAGTTACATTCTTATTACATGTATTATAGCCTTTAAAGTTGAGTTATACTTGATGAATGAGGAAAGTTTCCTTACAGTTTTGAGTTGAGTTAAGTCCATTACTTCTTTTCAAAACAGCTAGATAGTGACTAAACATACCTGACACCACTACCTAACCCATCGAACAAAAGAAAACTAAAATACTCATGCCAAAATTTTGCCTTTAATTCAGCACTGGGTTCTTTATCCAACTCAAAATAATATTCTCATTATAATGGAAAGTCATGGCACAGCAGTCTTGCACTCTTAATTGAAGTCAATTGAGACAAGATTTAACTTTATTTAACCTTAAAGTGTTCAGTTCTTGTTGTTATTATTACTATTAATAGCACAGCAATTATATCTAACCTCTCACAATTGCCTTGAGGAAAGTTGGATTTAACTCAATGGCTGCTTCTGCATCCCAAGGTGAATCCTGGTGATTTCATGTTTTTTAAATACATATCTCTGATTAGCTGTACATATAGCAAATCCACCACCCTTACATGAATTTTATGAAAAACATGTGATGCTGATTGATATCTGGTGTAAGAGGTTACTTCTTTGTATGTTTGAGAGGCCAATAAAAGGCATATATTTTTCTAGAGAATTTCTTTCTGGGCATATACATTCAAAATCATCACCTTTTTCAGAAAACTACTACTGACAGCCCTTTAAGTTTCAAAATGGAAAAATTGCATATTTTTTAGCTCTCATCATCTTACCAAGTTTAAAATGTGCAATAGCCCTGTTGTTGTACAGTTTGGCCTCCAGTTCTTTCTCATTGCAGTTCACTTTAATTCCTCTGGTGTAAAAATGAATAGCATTGATGAAATCTCCTTTCTTGAAGGCCTCATTACCCTCATTCCTATAAACATCAGCTGTGGCTGCAAAGAAAAAAATTAAAATAATTTGTGTCAAAGTCTTTGGTTGTAGTTAATTAGTGTATAAGCATAAGCAGCAATTGTCTCCCTCTGTGCCCTTAAAGGAAAAACCCCACTCAGTTAATTTATGAGATACTCTTTTTGCTTGAAAGCTCAATCAATTAGACTCAGTTTCTGTTGTGGTCATCATTTAGAAGAAAGGGTTGTCCCTACTTTGAAATAATCTAAGCGCAATCAAGAAAATTAAGATAAGAGCCCTAAGATAACCATAACAACATTGGATATGGGGAATTTGGTGTTCAGATCTTATATTTCTGCGAGGATTACTGACCAAAATCCTCATTTGTCAGGAAGATTTGATGACCCATATGACAGACATTTCTCATTCTGTCTGTGAGACTCCCTGCTAATGAGAGAGAGTCAGCATAATTATAAGTGTTAAAGAGTCTACTGCTTTAATTACATTTAGATAGTTAATAAGTCAATAAGATCCAAATGTTGCAATCATAAAAACTAGAAGCAATATTTCTTATTGACAAACACAGTTATTATATAAATGATAAGAATAATGATAAAGAAGATCCCTTGCGAAATGGCTTTTGGAATTCCTAGGATTTTCCTAGGAATTCCTAGGAATTTATTCCTAGGAATTCCTAGGAATTCCTAGGAATTCCTAGGAATAAAGGTGTGAATTTTCACGGTAAATTCGGACTGGGAATTCCTAGGAATTCCTAGGAATTCCCAACCATAACAACTCTGGTTCTAAAAACCTAGAAATTCCTAGAAATTCCCAGAAATTCCCAGAAATTCCCAGAAATTCCAAGTTTATAGCCAACAGGACTTGGAATTCCTAGGAATTCCTAGGAATTCCAACTCAGAGAACCAATGACTTTCCCTGAAAAGCTGTAAATCTAAAAAATTCCTAGGAATTTCTGGGAATTTCTGGGAATTTTTGGGAATTTTTAGGAATGTTTAAGAATTACTGGGAATTTTAAGCAAAAATTTGAGGCTAATGATATAAAATAAATACTTTAAATTAAAAAAACCCAGCTAAAATTCAAGTATTCAATGAAATTTATTTAGAAGCTTAATTTAAGGCTTACATGTAAAATATTTTTGATTAATTATTAACATCAATGTGTGGTAATATTAGGATGGAATTTGATTTATTTTTCTTTTCTTGAAAACTTCATACGGATTAATCCTCATTACAGCTATTCATATAAAATAGTTCTAATCAATCATTAAATTTGGTTTGACACAAATTGTGAATAAAATCTGTTGATTCGTTTCCATAAAATACAATATCTTAAGTTATATTTGAAAACCAAGCACTCTTGGGAGTGAAGGGGCTAATTACAGACAAATAAAATTGATTTTTTGATTAAAATCTTGTTTTAACCGTAACAATAAATTAGAATGAAGTTATCCTAAACTGCAAACTTAGCTGCTGTTTGTACTGTTTGTATTTTTTTGACATGACATCTGACATCTTGACATCTGAATTTGAAAAAAAATAATATATTAAAATATGTATATTTAAAGCTCAGACCAGGCTTTTAAGATGGCTATGAGGAAAAGGGCATTCATTGGATTCTCAAATTGAGAAATCTCTGTTATATTGAGTGACTTTCATATTGGAGTTAGTACATCTCTCTCATGGATTTTACTAAAAAAGGGCTGAATACATTATTTTGTTTTTACCAAGGAGGGCTTCTTTATGTACTATAAGGTTTGTTTAATAACAGTTCCTATTTTGAATCTTGAATGTTCCCAAACGTGACTAGAGGAATCTTGAAACCTTACTGATAGGTTTATTTCATTGTAAAGCATAAGCTTAAGAAACTGCGGCATGCAAGTGACCGATTCGATTCTCAGAATTATTCTAGTTTCAGTTGCGCCGAGCGTTATGTAAGCTTAATTCAACCCGCTACATCTATTCTTTTATAAGATTTTGATCACGTAACGAATATCGCAATTTTTACTCACCACAAACTTTCAAAATCGTAGCTTTACAGACGGCCATTCGACCCTTGTTTGTACCAGTCAACATGTCAACTGTTGCCCCTTCTTTTAACTCCACGGCGCCAACGACTTTCTTTTCTTTTACAACACTCACGCTATTCTCGTTTTCCCATTGAACCACAATAAAAGCTATCTTTAGAAATGTTATATTAAGCAAAACAGTTGAGAAAAGCGATCAACCGATGAAAAGTACATTCAAAGATGAGCGCCAAATGGAGTCTTCTTTGTTTCCGATCACGGGCATGATCACGTGGATCTTTTAGGACTTGTCATTGGCTAGCAGAGTGAATCCGCTGGCTTGCCGATTGCAGTGTTAGGAGAAGTGCCCAACTACATTCTGACTTCTCCGACCGGTTCTCTGCTTCTAGAAGATGGATAGCTTGGTGATATAAATAAAGATGTGAGCGCACTCTATGTAGAAATAATCGACAAGAATCGATCGTATTACAAATGCTCGTTTTGTGGCCGAAAGTTGTCGAGGAAACAAAGACTCGAAACTCACTTGAGTTGTGTTAATGGCAAAGGTGAGAAATAACACAAGCCAATCACAGTTTTGAATGCGACTACAAATCGTCTTTTACCCTCATATTTATAAAAGAAGGATACCACATTCGGAAGTGTAAGAGATACATAGATGATCCCAGTGTACCAGTAACTAAATCTACAAAGCTTGACCGTAGAAAGCGTTCAGCAACACGTTCCAACACCGCCATCTCGATTCCTCAGTCAGTCGTTTCCACTGAACTTAAAGCAGTATTGACAACAGAGTAGAGTGCGTCTTACAAAGGAGAAACATTTGTACCAGAGACAGAAGTAGCTATATGCGATTACAGAGGTGCGTTGGAACTCTGGTCCACAAATAGTTATGCACTGCCCGAAGTATAAAACAATTTTGTTGATAGCTGACAGACAGAGAAGAACAACAAGTAAACTTAAGAGCTGTTATTATTGAAGTGTGACTAGCACTTTTCATTTTTATATAAAGAAGGACTTGTAATTTGCACCAAAAATAAAAAGATGTAATGTTTTTTGGGAGATCAGTGATTGGGACATTTAAGAAATTAAGTTATGAAAGGAAACTTAGTTGGTATTTCTCACTACTAACAAGTCTTGTTGACAAATATTTTCAGATCAGAGTTTCAAATAAAGTAAATTGAAGATGTCATATAAAAGGTGTTTTTCCTCAAAGGGAACATTGACTACCTCTGTCTTGTCTGCATGCCAAATGTTTGCAAAGTGTGTGGATGATCCACAAGTATTGGAACTCTTACAAAAATGTTTTGTAAGAATAAAAACAGCAAAACAAATTACAGCAATTAGTCATGAAAATAGAGCAAAACACTGAAAAAAGAGGAGCAACAACAATCATGAAAAAAGAAAGATTAATTAGGTGTTGAATTTGTTTGTCTAAGGCATGAAATTTCTACTAAAAGTATTGTCAACAAAAAGTCTCTGACAGAGTTGGAGGCAACTGAGCTTGACTGTTCTAAGATTTTCTAACAAAGGCAACCAGTAATGTAGGTTAGGGAAGTAAGATAACAATGTAATTATTGTTAATTATTGTGGAAGTTGGCAATTTCCATTTAACATAACTGACAGCTGGTTCATGAGAAAATCCATATTAATGTAAAGATTTACTAAAACTTAGTTTGAGTAATAAATTTCATGATCTTTGAGTTATAAACATGTACATGTATGTATATCTCTTGGTAAGTTTTGTATAGCATACCTTTTATTGAGCCAAAGTATTGAGCCAAAGTTTTAAGCCTCTGAAATTACTCTTTTTCTTAAAACCTTCACATTCAAGGGATTGAGAATTTCTTAGAATTTATGTGGACCTCAGGGTATTAAAATTGCCTCAAATTCAATTCCCAGAAATTCCCAAGAGTTCCACACTTCTTAAATTATAGGTAGTTTGTAAAGCTGAGAATTCCTAGGAATTCCTAGGAATTCCTAGGGATTCCAAGTCCTCACAAAACTGGAGTCTTTCTTTCCCAGAAATTCCCAGTAATTCCAAGCTTTTTAAATCAGAGCTAATTTGCATAGTTGGGAATTTTTGAGAATTCCTAGGAATTCCTAGGAATTCCTAGGAATTCCTAGGAATTCCCAGAAATTCCCAGAAATTCCCAGAAATTCCCAGAAAACTGGGAATTCAGTTTGCAAGGGTCATTTGCATAATTGGGAATTTTTGAGAATTCCTAGGAATTCCTAGGAATTCCTAGGAATTCCCAGAAAACTGGGAATTCAGTTCGCAAGGGAATTGAGATTAATAGTCATGATGATGCTAATAATGTGGGTGACAATAGTAGTGATAATAATAATGACGAAAATTAAGTGTCACTCAATTTGAAGTAAACCCCTGGGCATTTAAACTTTTGGAGAATGGTTTCCTAAAATTCCTATCCCCTTGGGTAAAATATGCATGCATATGCCTCACCCAATTTTTATGTAAAAAGCAAAATAATTACAAATAGCAGCCATGACTTTCAACAAGCTTGAAAACCGAGAACTTGAAGACTTTTTCCTTCTAAGCCATTTCTTAGTGAAAGTGCACTAAACCCTAACACCACCATATTAAATAATATCACACTTGTATTCTACTGGAAATTAGTCTTGACACTTCTGGTTCAAATTCCCCAATGCCAGTTGAGCAAACTTCAATTGAGTGCTCTGCAATTACCCTTTTTGCAGAGATCTGCATTTTCTGCAAATTGATACATTTCTCAGCTGGCTATTCAAAGACATTTGTTGATTCTGTTAAACTATTGGCCTGATAATATATCTACTTCTTTGGGCAAGATAAAGGAGTTGATCAGTTTCCTTTAAATGATCATTAAATTTCTTGAATGATACCTGTCTAAATTTGGTGAAACAACAAATTTGTTAACATGTTGAGGGGGCATAAAAAAAGACATAACTTGCAAACCTCTGCTAATGTGTTTTAAAGCATTGATGATTAGACAATGCCCTGTTTATTCAGTTAAAGACAGCTCTCCAAAACACTTTGTATGTGCTCACCTGAACCCTACCTGATCTTGAGACTTCCTGCCTGGGTATCTTGTGTGCCTTTAGGCATTCCTTCTGATGTTCCAGTAACTACCAGCTCATCACCACAAGCTTGGGTACCCTGACTGGCTATAACCACTGTCCCTGGTGTCTCTAGTTGTGAATGAGGGTCTGTGATGGCCTCACAATCAATCTGCATTCGAATTTTAACTGTAAGGGAAAAAAGTGTTATTAATTGCAGCAACTAGCCATTACAAAAGAGGCAAAACAGACAATTACTTTGAGTCATTGTCCAGCTATAGTCAAATAACAAATAACTGACAGTTCTCTGCTTCAAAAATGTACGAAGCCATTTCTGTCCAAATACATGTAACAGTGAGCACTGCACAGGTAACCCTGATATATTGTGTAAGTGCCTGTGTTAGAGGAAAAATACTTTACTTTAAAGAAAAAATAAACAAGCTGACCTCCAGCTGAGGAATTGGGTTGACCACCAAGTTCTAATCGATCTTTGATGTCTTGGGCTACATCTCGCAACTCTTGCCTCAAGCACTGTACTTCTTGGGCTGTAGATTCTACTTTCCCTCCAAGCTGATCTTTGATGTCTTGGGCTTCATCTCGAAGCTCTTGTCCTAAGTGCTGAACCTCTTGCGCTGTAGATTCTACTTTCCCTCCAAGCTGATCTTTGATGTCTTGGGCTTCATCTCGAAGCTCTTGTCCTAAGTGCTGAACCTCTTGCGCTGTAGATTCTACTTTCCCTCCAAGCTGATCTTTGATGTCTTGGGCTTCATCTCGAAGCTCTTGTCCTAAGTGCTGAACCTCTTGCGCTGTAGATTCTACTTTGCCTCCAAGCTCATCTTTAATTTCTTGGGCTTGTTCTCGAACTTCATGTTCTAAGTATTTCTCCAAATGCTTCACTGAAGATTCTACTTTTTCAAAGTATTCCTTTACTTCTGTATCATTCTGGTACCAGCATTGCAATTCCTGCTCATTTCTCTTGTCCTCCTCTGTGAGGGGATCTTTTAAAAATGTATCAATAGCATTTTGCCATTCTTTTGCCTTTGCAGGACTGATTTGACCTGCAATTCTCACCAGAGCCTCACTAATTTCTCCCCAAAGAACTGAAAACTTGTCATCTGAGATTTCCATGTTCTCCTTCACATGACCATATATCGAATTGCGGTAATATTTTATTCTGGCTAAATATGCTTCTAAACTGTCATCTGTACTTGCTGGTAGTGCATCCCAGCCTGTGACAGGAGCAGTGAGGCCACATATTGTCCTTAGCAACCGGAAAAGGAGAGTTATATCAAAGTCTGTTGACTTTCCATACATCCCTGGGGAAGGGTACAGGCAGTCCATCTGTGGTTTGGTGAGCTTTGCTGCCTTAAGTAGCTTCTTCATGGCTGGATTCTGAAGTGTAGTAGGAAGATTACTTGATGGACATTTGATGTCAAAAACCTCCCTCAATAGTACAGTACCTCCACTTATCAAAAGCCGAGCCAGACGTTGAAAATTATCTCTCCCTCTCGAAGAATGAAGCACCTCAGCAGGGTCCAGAGTGGCAGCCATTTTAAAGAAGGAAAAACTGAGGCAGGATCAGTTACAAGACCTCCCTAACCTCATGATTGCAACCCAAACTGCAAAATAGATCAACAGAGTGAACAGTTAATCTCACAAATGACAGATATGGCTAATATAAAATGTCCCAGCTTAAGTAGGATGGATGGATGATTTAAGAGGAGAGGATCAAAATGGGTTGCTTTCAATAATATTCAGAAATTTTCATTTTATGCTATGTGGGTATAATTTTGCTGGCAAAGAGTTGGTGTTCAACTACTTAGATGTGTTTTCTCAAGCCTATGTAGGCTGAGAAATTTTACAAAAATACCTGAAATACTCTGATCTAGTACCTTCAGCATATAATTATAATAATCGAACAAGTGACTCGAAATCTCAAGACCTGCATCTTAGTTAAGTCATATTTAAGGACTGTTCTTGCAAAAAGTCTATAATCCTTTTACTTTACAATCTTTTCAGTTTATGAATACATTATTCAGTTACAAGAGACTTGAAATACGTTTCCTCAAAGAAGGGAAACTAGGCGCGCTAGAATGTGTAGTACGTTGCGTGACACAAGAAAGAAATCACTTAGCAGTCACGACGTGCTTGCTTAAGCCATCTACGTCGTTTACTCCCTATGATTTACAGGAGTACATACACAAATTCCACATCATCATTCTCTCCCGAGGTAACAATATATGATGTATCAGTTATCAAAAACAAAGAATTTTATCCATTCGCTTTAGCGGGGTAATGATGATAAACTAACGACACGCTTGCCGCTTTGATCATTCTCTGTGGAGGAATCAATTTATCAACTTCAACCTAAATTTTGACCGAACAGGAACCCAGCGAGGCTCAAAATACTAGTATTGTTTTGATTGAGCTGGTTTGCTGGTCAATCATCCTTCAACTGTCGCAAACGACATTTCTTAGACATTCGAATCTGATGAAGATCTCGGAGATTTCCATTTGGGAGCTCGTTCACACTACACTCACTTAAATTGCGCTCATTCAACAGCTTTCCTAATCACAAAGGCCATATCTTCAATAGCAATTTAAATGATGAGTTGGAGATTAGCCCGCGCAGAGAAAATTTCAAATCAAGGGCCCTACCTTTAGAGTTTTTTTCGTTCGAACTACATCGAACTACGGTCTGTGATTCTTTAGCGTCGGCATACCCGTGAAAAGCGGAAGTAAATGGGTTCGGAGCGTATCATGGGAAAGCCCAACAAAAAGATAATATCAGGGAAGGGACGGTAGGGCATGAAATTGTCGTCCATAGCTCAGTTCTACCTTTTCAAGACTTTGGACGCGCAATTGTAATTAACTTTTAATAGTAGGACTGGTCAACTTGCCAGCATTTTTATGTAAACCACACTGTCTTACGGGGGGAGTCTGGCTACATTTTGAGCCCAAATGTGTAAAAGATTGTAAAGCACATAAAACTCCAGCTATTTAACCCTTTAACTCCCAAGATTTCTTGGGTAATTCTCCTTACTGTCTGCCATACAATTTATGTGATGATAGTTTGGAGAATATGGAATTGGATCAACCAACAACCCCTTAATTGATATTTTTTCTTTATTCTCATTACTTGTCTGCTTGATATCATACTGATAATGTAAGGAGAAATTCTGTCAAGGTCACTAGTGGGGCTTAAAGGGTAAATGCATCTTCAAAGAATTTTGCATGCAAATAGACTAACCCACTACCTAATGTGGCATATGGTTTGCATACCATAATAAGCAAATTTATAGTTTAATATTAACCAAATTCTTCATGGAGGCTTTTCTTCACTTTTATCATGCCCCTCCCCCCCTTCATATTTTTTGTTCTATTTATACAGAAAGCATAATATTTCTCACAGTAACACCACAAACTCTCCTACTAAGCTATTGAGCAATTTTGATTTTCACCAAATTGCATTGCCATAGTACCAGCATACTTTTGTATTGAGTTTAATCTGGAATAACATCAACTGAATTTAACCAAAATGACAAAGCCTCCATAGGTTTGTAGAGCAGCCTTTCATATGTAACTGAGCCAAATTTGGTAGAAAATAGATAACACTAAATTGAAAAAAGCCTAAGGGGGCATCTTAAAACTCTGTAAAAATCCCCATTAGGGAAATTGCAGCTTAAAAAATTTGGAAAGCAAAATCACTGAGAAACATTCAATAAACATTCAATAAACATTCACTTTTGTCTCTTCTTAGCTGGTTCTGTTGTAACAGTCAGTTCATTTAAAGCACTAGCACTGTACATTGTCCCCTCTTTATGTCTCCATTGCTTCTCATCTCTTTGTTTTGCTTGTCTTTGAGCAACTCTTTATTTTTTAATGTTGATCCAGGGTCCTTTTAAATTCCCTCAGAGTCCTTTTTGGTGCTTTCCTTTTCTGGTTTTGGCCCTCAACAGCTGGCCCAGCCAGTTGCTCTTCCCAGCCGTTGCTCCTACACTGAATTGTAGAATAGCTGGTGCTGTTTCAAAGCTGAATTGTTTTGTTTTGTTTTGTTTTTTTCCTTGCCATTTGTGATTTAGGTATCTAATCCACACTAATATCTTCTCTGCCAATCCCCATTTCACTGGCAACATAAACCATTCGGTGATTCAGATCTTTTCCTTACACTGTTCTGGGGGCATTGTCTGGGGGATTAACATATAGATTTAGCCCAGCCTAAAAGCGGAGCTCGCATTTTTTTTCCCCGCACGTCTCAAGGGCACACCGCCTTGCTCCAGCCAAGACTAGAACCCGGGCCGTCCGACTCGGAGCCCAGTGCACTGACCACTGGACTACTGAACAAAGCCATGGCGTTGGCATGCCCGCGGTACAGTTGACCACGCATGTTAAAAGTAGCACCTTATGTGGTCGTATGGTCGTACATCCAAATTTTTTCGGCTTGATGGGTTACTACTATTTGGTATAATTATGCGGCTACTCTCTGCGAGCTCCGCTATGATCACCAGTAGCAAGACCACAATCATCACAAATAGTACATGTGCTGCTGCTAAGGCCAAATCGGCTTGGGCTCATTTCTCGAAGTTTTCGATGGTCTACAATAGCAAAACTTAAGAAATAACTTAATACTAACGATGCAAGACGAGAAAAGCAGTAAAGAAGCACCTTTTATAATGAATACTAAGTGAATTGCGAAAGAAAAAATAATTGCCTCACCGGAAGAACATGGCGAATTAGAATGAATTCTCCTTGCAAATTCTACGAGACTGTCTATGGACACAACACGGTATCCTTCTGGAATTTCACCTTTTGGATCTATGCTTCATTGGAAGAGCTTTCTGTGCATTCAACGGCAATTTTTCTCAAAGCAGCGGGCGTTGAATCTGTTCACTCACAACATCGTGAACGTGATTTCAGCAGCAGCATTTCTCGCTTGTTCCACGGGAAATTTCTTATGCTTGCACTCATTGAATTTCGATTTCCTCTTTGTTTGTTTTTTTTTTTTCACAATTCTTTTTAGAAAGGACTGTTTTGTCCGATTTTTCCTCCTTTTGGCATAGAGTTGTTACGATTATGAGATAGTTTCACTTGGAATCAACATAAACAACTTTTCTCTACTTCCCTCTTTACGCTTTGGAAACATAGAAAAGATCAATCTTGGAATGAACTGCAGGAACAAACGAATCACCGGACTCTAAAAAACCCTCCAAACGCCTTGGATTTGACGTGCATTTATTTGAAACGGTTGCCATAGAAACAGATCGACAAATTTGTTCACGTCATAAATATTGAATTTTTTTCACCAATTTTTTTTGGCAATTTCTGATATTAAAAGCGTTGATACCTGAAAGCTGAAGAAAATTTTCGTCTAATAACGAGTATAAAAAAAAATGACTGAGTTCGTAATTTAACTAAAAATTTCAACCAGAATCCTCCCTTAAACAGCGCATGCCAAGGGTACTGCGTTTTTGTGCGTGTGTTTGGGAGGAGGGAGGGGAGGGGGGTTATTACAAGATTGTTTAGTTTTTTATCAACTGAGTTGATAATGTAAATTGCCATCATCAAAAGTTTCTAAAGTTATATACTTCGGTAGCATCTTTGTTTTCACGCTGGGGAAAACATCATGTCTTAATAGCGTTTCTTTTTATCTTTAAAGTTTTATAAAATCTCTAGCTATTCAGCTATCAAATATGTGGTAAATACCTTTTTGTAATAAAAACAGGAACCTTTCCAAAAAGCCCCAATCATTAACAGGCGTGCGTCAGGTGTTGGTCTTGGAACTTCAGTCTAGAAGTTTGGTACTAACACGACGTTTTACTTCACAGGAGATTTTACAGTGCCTATAGAATGAATATAACTCAAGTCTTCTGAAGGACATGGCTCAGAAATATCTTGTGACAGAGCAAGTTCTGAAGGAGTTTGACCTGACTGGACTTAACTGACGACAACTACTCAGGAGGAGAATTACATAACTGCATGAGAATTTTTTCGCAAGGATTAGGTAAGAGTTAACACTCGAAACGACGGCTTTTGACCTCTTAACGGTGGCCAATTTACCTTATCAACTCCGTTTATTACTAAATTACTCTGTTATACTCTCCCACCGACGTAGCACCACAGTTTCTTTAGGAACTTACCCTTTTATTCATTTGAATTCATATTTTCTTTCAGATCATGGTCCACTTCACATGAAAAGAAGCAGAAGTATGGGGATTGGCCAAGAATCGACATCCTGTGAAAAGCTCCGAATATGGCATCAGGAACGCTAGATAACGGTTCAGTTTGCTTACCAATTGCGTTACTTTTAATCCACGCAAATGTAGTTGTCAAAAGACGTAACGCCACCTTTCATACATTCCAACTGAATTATGATTATGTGTTTCTGTTTCTGTGCATGTGTGTTAGCGTAATATATTAGTGAGGTCAGAGGTCACCAGTAGAGATGATAACCATTCAGAGGAAGATATTCTGGAAGAGATCATTGTGGAGGACAACTGCTCAGAGCATTCTAATAGAGAAGGCGATATCCCTTTTGAGGGTGATTTTAAGGATGATCTTCATGACGTAGTCATTAGAGCGG